GTTCATGCCATTTGCTTCAACCCTTTCTCTCTGCTTGTGAAAATCCTACATTAAGAGTGTGATGAAAGGTGCAGGGTTTGTCACCTACCAGGGATGGAGAATAGAAATAAAAGAAGGTACATGCTCTAGAGTCAGCAGTTTGAATTTAAAACTTTAGACATTTATAGCTGGGTGATCTTGGTCATTGGTCTCCTTATGTGCAAAATGGGGATACTTATCATATGGGGGGGGTCAAATAAGATATAGCCTACAAAGCACAATGTATTCAACACTCCAGAAAAGCTGGCCTTATCTGCATTTATTGCTTTCCTGCTTGGGAAGTCATTCCTGATGATGTGAACATGGACCTCTTTTATCTCTAACCCTCTTATTAAATATTAACTTGTTTGGTGCTTAACCCACTGGCTATTTCTCACAGATATTCTCAGACTGGAGCTCTTTTTAGATTAATCTGTATCCTTAGACTTTCCATTTCTGTTTAGAATAGTTTTTATTCTAAACTCAACGGGCCAATTGTTTGTGGCTCTATCGGGAAAATGATTCTGCACTGAGCACCATTTAGATTGTCTTACTGAGACAAGGCTAGGTGGAGCTCAGTCTTCTGCGACAGGGACACAGAAAGTTCTCCATAAATGAATCCATCCTTTCAGAAAACACATATTTCCTTAAGTAGAATGAAAAAGGTCTTAGAATCTACATTGGTTTAACTCTAGTTTCTACTTTAATGTGAACCTGTAATATTGCCACATCTCCAATTGTTACAAAATTGCATCTCGCTAGTTTTACAATGCTTCTCTCCATTTTGCTGCTTTTATGGCATTTAAAAAACATTTCACTGTTTTAAGTTCAGCATAAATGTTTTACTGTTTTCCCAGTTATCTTAATATCCAGGGCCGGACAGTCTCTCTGTTTTATCTGTCTCCTTGAATGTAATACTGTTTGTTTTGCTGATTCTCTCTCTCTCTTTTTTTTTCTTCTAAGAAATGCTTTCTTCTGAACTTTTCTTGAGTACTTAAGGAAAGCCACGAAGACAGGGTTGGCAGGATAACAGATGTTTCCCCCTATTTATTGCTCCTGAAGTTTGTTCCCTGCTTTAAATCTCTAAAATTAGGCACACAGGATCTTTGGGAGAAATGTGTGAGTAAAGAGAGACGGGCTGAAGCAGGCAGAATTTCAAATTTTGATTTATTCTTTCTTAGAAGATGATTTATAAATACAAACATTATGGTTATATATGTTTAAATATATGATGCCTTATGTTTATCTTGAAACACACACATACATGGTGCTTAAAAAAATAAACTTCTGGAGCCCATAATTACATAAATAATAAGATGTTACCTGTCATCTACCTCCTCTTCCTGAACCTATCATGCTGCTTGTAAATGTGGAGAACTTTGTATTTTTAGGAGATATGTGTCAACGCTGCCACAGAAAATTGTGCTAGTAAGACACAGCAGTACTTACTAGTCACACAATGTGCTATATATAAAAGTTTTTAACATTTTATAATTTACAGAGTCCTTTTCACAGATATCTTATTTCATTAATCCAGTGAAGTATTATGATTTTATAGAGAAGGAGAAGGTAACTGACGTAAGGTCACATAACCAGTAAGTACACTATATCACAAACCTGTGATTTTTGAATCTAAAACCCAGTCTTTTTACTATGTTATGCTGAAATCGAGAGCAAAATGGTCTATGCACAGTGATCCCCACACGTTAGAAAGCACCAATAGTTAGGTTTTGACCAGAGAAATCCAATTAAACAAACTGGCTAGTCTAAACTTGGAGTTAAAGATTTTTTTCTGATTACACTTAGTCAACATCTTTTTTTTTTTTTTTTGAGATGGAGTCTTGCTCCGTTGCCCAGGCTGGAGTGCAGTGGCGCGATATCAGCTCACTGCAAGCTCCACCTCCCGGGTTCATGCCATTCTCCTGCCTCAGTCTCCCGAGTAGCTGGGACTACAGGCACCCGCCACCACGCCCGGCTAATTTTTTGTATTTTTAGTAGACATGGGGTTTCACCGTGGTCTTGATCTACTGACCTCGTGATCCGCCTGCCTCGGCCTCCCAAAGTGCTGGGATTACAGGCGTGAGCCACTGCGCCTGGCCTTAGTCATCCTCTTAACCATTGGTCACTGTTGTCCTGAAATTTGTTGACTTCCCTGGTGTCAAGGGTTAACTTTTCCTTATCTTCTATTAATATGATCCAGCTGGTCCATTGTACTTCTGTACAGGCTGTTTTGAGTCACACAGCTTGCTCTATCAATTGAAGGTATAGCTTATGTACAAATATGTTTTAGCTTTCATTTCTGATTTTCAGCCTGGAGCAGTGGCACACTAATCTACTGCTGTGTTATCTACAAACTTCCCTGTCAACCATTGCCAAGGCTCACTGCAGGGTCAGGGTCTGAGATCTCACTGAAGCTCTTCCATTGGCAAACCAATACATTGATTCTTTACTTGTTTTCTGACTCAGGTCTGCGGTTAGAGTGTAATGCAGTTACTGTCTTTAAAATATCATGCTAATTCTGTTAAGTTCCTCTTACATTCAGATCTTTTCCAAAAGCTGGAGATCACATAATTCAAACATCTACTTAGCTACACTGGGTTCAGGCTGAGAGCCTGTTTCTCAGCCCAACATCCTGTGGTAATCATCCACCTACACCTGGCTCAGCTGCATTGGCCAAGAATAACAGTGCATCTGCACTTTTCTAAGCACGTTTCTGAGATCTTGCCAATACTTTGTAATACACACATGCTCATTCACACAATCTTAGGGACTAAGTCTATTTGTCTGTGTATCCTCTACAACTATCATGTGTCAGGCACATGGCAGGTGCTCAGTAAAAAGTTCTAAATGGGCCAGGCGTGGTGGCTCATGCCTGTAATCCCAGCATTTTGGGAGTCTGAGGCGGGCGGATCAGGAGGTCAAGAGATTGAGACCATCCTGGCTAACACAGTGAAACACTGTCTCTACTAAAAATACAAAAAATTAGCCGGGCGTGGTGGTGGGCGCCTGTAGTCCCAGCTACTTGGGAGGCTGAGGCAGGAGAATGGCGTGAACCTGGGAGGCGGAGCTTGCAGTGAGCTGAGATCGCGCCACTGCACTCCAGCCTGGGAGACAGAGCGAGACTCCGTCTCAAAAAAAAAAAAAAAGTTCTAAATGAATGAATTCTCCTGCTGGAATTCACTTCTATCACGTACATACAAACCACCCAATTTTAGTTTTTTTTTTTTTTTTTTAAACAGGCTATAAAATAGGCCCTAGCCATACCATCTGGATTAGGTATCTTTAAAAGTAGCATTCATTTAAACATATGTACTGGGATTCTTTCTACTTCAGGAATCATTCAGTGTTACAGAGAAAGAAAACTGCATTACACTCTACTCTAACGGCTGGAGTAGCTGCTACACATACTCCAATAAATACTATTGCACTAAAATACTTTTATATTTTGAATATTTTTTGAATAATACATAATTTGAATATTGACACTATTGTACACTTACATATGGTTAAGATCATTAATTTTATGTTTTTACCGGACCTGCTAAAGATTCAGAACAACTCTTGGGAAAAAAAAATCAGAGAAACCTTCACAATTTTTTTTTTTTTTGAGATAGAGTCTTGCTTTATCACCCAGGCTGGAGTGCAGTGGCACGATCTCGGCTTACTGCAAGCTCTGCCTCCAGGGTTCATGCCATTCTCCTGCCTCAGCCTCCTGAGTAGCTGGGGCTACAGGTGCCTGCCACCACACCCGGCTAATTTTTTGTATTTTCTAGTAGAGATGGGGTTTCACTGTGTTAGCCAGTGATCTCCTGACCTCGTGATCCACCTGCCTCAGCCTCCCAAAGTGCTGGGATTACAGGCCTGAGCCACCGTGCCTGGCCAAGCCTTCACAATTTCTTTGGAAACTCATTGCTAGAATACAATAAAACCAGCAGCGAGCTACTCAAATCTATACAATCATCTCTCATAGAACTTCTAGTTATGTTCAAGCTTTTCCACAGAATTTGCAAAGCCCTTCATGATCTGGCCTCTGTTTTCTTATGGCCAATCATGAACAAATCATTATTCCTTGGACAGACAATTTCTTCATACCTAGGGCTTTGCAAATGGTACTCTCTGCCTCAAACACCTTTCTCACCATTTTCCTTTTGGCGACCTCTTATTTATCCTTCAAGGTTCAGCTTAAATACTTTTTTTTTTTTTGAGACGGAGTCTTGCTCTGTTGCCAGGTTGGAGTGCAGTGGCGTTCTCAACTCACTGCTACCTCTGCCTCCCGGATTCAAGCGATTCTCTTGCCTCAGCCTCCCAAGTAGCTGAGATTACAGGTGCATGCCACGACGCCCAGCTAATTTTTGTATTTTTAGTAGACGGGGTTTCACCATGTTGGCCAAAATGGTCTCAATCTCGACCTCGTGATTCACCCACTTCGGCCTCCCAAAGAGTTAGGATTATAGGCGTGAGCCACCATGCCCGGCTTAAACATCATTTCTTTAGGGAAGCTTTATTTAAATTCCCTAACGTGGTTTGGGCTTCTGGCTATCTCTCTCTGCATTCATCCATCCATCCATCTACGCTCTTACAGAAGTCTGACTTTTTCCTTTGTAGCATGTAATACAATTGTATGTAATTATGTAATATTAGTCCCTCCCACAAGACTGAAACTTACATGAGGTAGGGAATATTTGCTAACCACTTGTATTACCAGGGCCCCAATATCTTGTATAGAGCAGGTATTCAATACTTCCTTTTAAAAGATACCCTACAAATTCATCTTAATAGATTTCTCAAAGGAGTAGGTGAAGACACACAGAAAGTTTGTGAGCTTGGTGGTGGAGACAGTGGCTGAAGGGCCCAAGATGAAAGAAGTTTAGGGCTGGGTGAGTGAGTAAGCAAAAAGGGAGAAATGAGGACACTATAGGACGCTCACTTAATGAGGTTTCCCCTCCATTTCCCCACCATCCCACCCTACCCCAAACAAATCGTCAAACAATAACTTAGGTATTTATTTCATTAGAGAATCAGGTAAACCTCACATTACATGGCCAAGGCCAAAATAATTGTGCACAGTTAGAATGTGTTCAAGAAATCAGCCACAATGTAACCGGATTAGATTTCAACAAGGAGATGACTGTGTTCCTCCAAATAACCTTCATTCAGGAAGATGACATTCCTCCAATATGTGGAAAGACAATAAATGCACTTTCTTCTCTCTGCCACTGAGGAGGAAATTCTCCCTCTTGAGGGACCAACACTATTTCCTTTTTGATGCTCTTTTCCCTTCTCCTTTCTTTGGTTTCTCCTTTCCACGAAGCTTCTTTAGTCGTTTCTGCTCATCCATAAAATCCTGATGCTCATCTCTGAATGAAGAAGGAAAAAATAATTAACCAGTTATTTTTATGAGACTAGAAAAGTACACTGATCTAGCGCTGTTTTCCTGGGTCATTCTGGTTATCAATCTTTGACTTTTACAAGTTCGCCACACGCTCAGCTTGGTGTACAAAAGTATAGGGAGTCCCTATCATAGACATGCAGTGTATTCCAAAAGTTCGCTTATAAGTCCGTTTCCCTTCACAGAAACAATGCCACAAGCTGCAGTGAAATTCCCAGGCCAGCCTATGTAAACCTACATAACAATGACACAACACTAGTGATTACCCCGAATTTCCCTGCAACACTAAGACTAAACACAGAGAGGAGAAGAAGTGGGCATCAGCTTCAATAGCTACACAGAGACCCTGACTGCCCTAGGAACTAGCATCTACTCAGAATGGGGTGAGGTCTAGAGGAAGCTCAGCCTGGCCAACATGGTGAAACCTTAGTGGCAGTAGGTAACTCCCACAAAAAGGCTGCTGGGGAAAGGCTTAGGCAGAAGAAGCCAAATCAAAAGACAGATACTAAAGGAATCAAAGCAGCCAGGACTATGTAAGTATGGGGATGGCATAGAAGTTGATGATTACTTATACTATAAAAAAAAAGTCTACATCTTAAGCCCAGATACCTAAAGAATGGTATGGTGTTTAAACATGTAAGCTCTGGATCCCATGTGAACCTGGGTTCAAATCATGGCTCCACCATTTACTAGATCTGTCACCTTGGATAAGTGGCCTTACCTCCCTGCACCTTAGTTTCCTCACCTGTAAAGTATGGATAATAACAGTGTATGAATCAAATGTAAGAGAAGGGTTTGCTGAGCTTAAATTTTAATTTTCTAGGCTATCCATGAACATCAAGGACAGTATACAACTCTTTGGGATTAGTGGTGAGTGTCCCCAAATAATTCTCAGCAGTGCAGCTGCTGTAATTCTTCTAAAGTATATGTCAGATCATGCTACTCTTGTTCACAGCCCTGCAAATGGTTCCCCATTTCAACCAGAGCAAGTGCCATCGTCCTTACTACGGCCTCACAGCCCCTTGCAACCTGTCTCCAGTCCCACACCCCGTAACCTGCATGCCTCCTGGAAAGGAACACTCCCACCTCAAGGCCTTTGCCGAGCTCTTGCCCCTCTGCCTTGCAAGCTCTTCCCCAAGTCCTACTCGGCTTATTCGCCACCTTCAATCCTCTGCTTAAACCTCGACTCCTTTATGAGGCTGACCCTGACTGTCCTGTTTCATCCTGTAATCTGGCCTCTCCCCACCCACTGCAGGCCCCGTCGGCATTCTGGATCCTGCTCAGCCGGCTCTACTATTTTTTTCCATAGCATGTTCAACTTTGTAACAGATCACATAATTTACTTATTTTTTCCCCCTCTTCTGTCCCTCCCTCATTCTCATCAACCATTGGACAGAAAGATAGCTTTCTGGTGACTCTGTCTCTGTTGATGATACAAGCCGGGCACCTGGTTAACTGAATGGATCAATTGTTTCTGAGAACTGGTGCTTCCCTCCCTCTTTTGCAGGTCTCTGAGTAATATTTTCTTTATTGGAGACTGTCTAGTTTCATCCTGCCTGATGCCACAGGAGGCCTAGCATTAAAGGTGTCATTTACCATACCTAGGGACTACATGAAAATAAGTTTTTCTATGGATACTTGAAGTAATTTTTCCCTGTCCCCAAAGATAGCTAAGTCTTTATTCTTCAAACAGAGAGCAGCAGCAAAAAGATAAAATAACTGAATGTGATTTTTTCATGGGTTATAATCTCCTCAGGATACGTGCCTCCCAATATTTTATTTTGGGTTATAATAAAATTAGTTTTTATTTTCTGAGCCCAGACTGATGGCAAGAGAGGTACTCCCAAAGCAATTCCAAACATTCAAAACATGTCATAGATTGTAACCTCTGATATGTTAACCAACCACGTCTATTTTGTTCACTGCTGTTCCCCTAGTGCCATCTTAAGTGCCTGCACCTGGAAGGTACGTAAGAAATAGCCACTGGACAGTGAATGTACCAATCTTTAGCGATTTGGAATGAATGTTATGCTGTACTATTAATTCTATTGTATTAGAATAAATGGTTCCAAATAATTTTAGTATTGTTGCCCAAAGACAAGTCCAATTATAACTTGTTAAATTTTTAAAAAGATGGTATTTTAACTTTGTACAATTATGTACTATTTGAATTCTTTTGTATTGCGCATGTATTAGTTTGGTAATTAAAAAAAATAATTTTTTATTTCTGAGACCAAATCTCGCTCTGTTGCTGGAGTGCAGTGGCACAATCTCAGCTCACTGTAACCTCTGCCTCCTGAGTTCAAGCGATTCTCCTGCCCTCAGCCTCCCAAGTAGCTGGGATTACAGGAATGCACCACCATGCCCAGCTAATTTTTGTATTTTTAGTAGAGATGGGGTTTCACTATGTTGGCCAGGCTGTTCTAGAACTCCTGACCTCAAGTAGTCTGCCCGCCTGGCCTCCCAAAGTGCTGGGATTAAGCTGTGAACTATCGTACCTGGCCAAAAAAATAATTTAATGAAAAGGATCACAAAGGTATTTGATTTTTTTTTTTTTGAGATAGAGTCTTGCTTTGTCGCCCAGGCTGAAGTACAGTGGCATGATCTCAGCTCACTGCAACCTCCTTCTCGTGGGTTCAAGCAATTCTCCTGCCTCAGCCTCCCAAGAAGCTGGAATTACAGGAGTGTGACATCACGCCCAGCTAATTTTTGTATTTTTAGTAGAGATAGCGTTTCACCATGTTGGTCAAGCTAGTCTCAAACTCCTGACCTCAGGTGATCCGCCTGCCTCGGCCTCCCAAAGTGCTGGGATTACAGGCCTGAGACATTGTGCCTGGCCTGATCTTTTTTCTTTTTAGAGACGCATACAGTCCTAAGCACCTACTTCCTAGACATACACACACACACAAACATATGGTGTAAAGAACCTGTGTGATTTACATATTATCCTTAATGGCAAACTATAGCTTATCCAGACCAAATTAATATATCAAAAAGGGTATAAAATAAAAATGCCAGAAGAGAGTAGGAAGAAATGGCAACAAAAATGCCACCAGAAGAGAAAGAAGGCTCCCACATACCAGTTAAGCAGCAGATCAAGTGTGGGTCAGGGATTCCGTTCATCTGACAACAAGAGCCCACTGCCCTGGTGGTGTTTCTGGGGCTTTCTTCCTCAGTACTTAGACCAGTTTTTCTCTGCATCTTTTTTTTTTTCTCGAGATGGAGTTTCACTGTTGCCAGGCTGGAGTGAAGTGGCATTACCTTGGCTCACTGCAACCTCCACCTCCTGGGTTCAAGCAATTCTCCTGTCTCAGCCTCCTGAGTAGCTGGGACTACAGGCGTGCACCACCACGCCCAGCTAATTTTTGTATTTTTAGTAGAGACGGGGTTTCACCAGGTTGGCCAGGATGGTCTTGATTTCTTGACCTCGTGATCCACCCACCAATCCCTCCCTAAGTGCTAGGATTACAGGCGTGAGCCACCGCGCCCGGCCTCTCGGCATCCTTTTTAGAGTGCTCTTAGATTAACAAATTATTAAACACTTCTCTACAGCTCAGTATCTATTCAACATTAGTCATGTTGTAGACATAATTAAAATATATCTTCCAACAAACATGAATTTCCTTTTTTTTTGGTCTCTCCATTATGGGTATTTTGAAAGAAGCCTTTCTCCTGCAAACTGTACCTTTTGAATTACCTGGGCTCTATTGTAAGAACAAAACTGCAAGGATAGAAAGGCTAAGTTTTTTCCTTTTCTGATCTACTAAAAAAAGGTCTCTCATAGGTCCCTCTTTGTGTTTGTCATCACCTGTAGAGTCCAAGAAATCGGAGTGTCTGCATGAGTTCAGTGTAAGTGTGGTGATTTGGATACCAGTCATAAGTCTCCTTCTTCTTGGCCAAGGGCAGTTCACTAAACAGTTTCACCACTTTCATAGACTTGGAATCAGTAGGCCTGACGACTTCACCAAATAGCCGGGCACTGAGACGAGACATGCGCAAGGCATATTCTGAAAGGGAGGACATTTCTTGAGTGGCAAGGAGTTAGAGTTCCTATAGAAAATGAGAAGAAAGATAAACAGGTTAGGGTAAGAAATTCTGAGATTAGCTAATGAATACTTTAGAAAATGCAAACACAGCAAGCCGCTCATGGATCAGTGCCGTGTTGGCAGGATATGCCTAGGAGTGGAGAAGTATCCACAGGCCAAATGGCTATTTCCTTTTCATGCTTTACAGCTGCGATTTTTACATTTTGTGTTTACATGCTATTACTTCCTTGCTGTATTGCCTCCTTTACAACCAACTATTTTGTGATTCACCAGGTTATTTACTGACAGTCAGTTTACCTATTTGTAGGCTGGGGATGAAGAAGACAGGGAAACAAGTTATCCTAGTCCAGCATTATTATACCTTCAGAAAACACCCACCTAAGCAATCCGCAACGTTAATATGCTGACTGCTTGCCATCAAAAGGTGTAATCATGGCAGAGACATAATTATGCTGTTGTCTTTATTATCAGTCCTTTGAACACTGTTCTCCTCAAGGGCTCCAGAAGGCTCTGAGAGCTGCTAATGAGTTATGAGGTCATTTGGCTTCTAGGTTACTGAACTGAATTTTGCCTAGAGACTGAGAGCCATTTGGGAAAAACAAACAGACAGTAGCCCTATAGAAATAAATCCAATAGCTCAAAAGATTCATTTTCTTACTAAATAGAAGGCACGTATGAATTGTGAGGTTACTTGCTGTATCTTCCATCTTATACATTCTGCTTTAATGCAGACTAGCTAAGTTCTTATCAGCGGAAAACAGTAGCTTTTTCTTCAGAGGCGCACAACACTGAAATAGGTATAAGAATGATATCCACGATATGAACAAATTACAGCTAATAGACATAAAAAACTATACAGGGGATACATAAAAATCAAGAAAGCTGCTGGTGGAATAACTATCTCAACTCAGTTTAGACCAGACGTAGGGGTTATTGTTGGCAGAATATGCCAATTTATGAGAAAGTTTAGTAGTGAGATGAGAATCTTCGCTGACTCAGAGACTATCCTGGGAAACAGTTCAGCTGAGATGAAAAGGTGCTGATATTCAAGCAGGAAAAAGGCACAAACCTTGAAAAACCAATGGGAGAAATGTACCAAAAAACCCTCCTACATAAGAATGGTGCCAAGTGAATTTCAAAATAGTTCTTGCAAGAAAACAAACCGTGTTTAAATTAAGGAAGTTTCAATGCCTATTTCTTTTTTTTTGAGATGGAGCCTCGCTCTGTCGCCCAGGCTGGAGTGCAGTGGCCGGATCTCAGCTCACTGCAAGCTCCGCCTCCCGGGTTTACACCATTCTCCTGCCTCAGCCTCCCGAGTAGCTGGGACTACAGGCGACCGCCACCTCGCCTGGCTAGTTTTTTTCTTATTTTTTAGTAGAGACAGGGTTTCACCGTGTTAGCCAGGATGGTCTCGATCTCCTGACCTCGTGATCCGCCCGCCTCGGCCTCCCAAAGTGCTGGGATTACAGGCTTGAGCCACCGCGCCCGGCCTCAATGCCTATTTCAAGATCCATTAACAGAGGAGGCTGGCCATGGTAGCTCATGCCTATAAACCCATACTTTGAGAGGCTGAGATGGGAGGATTGCTTGAGGCCAGGACTTCAAGACCAGCCGAGGCAACATGGCAAAACCTTGTTTTTACAGAAAAAAAAAGAAAAGAAAAGAAGAAAATCAGTCTGGTATGGTAGTGCACACCGGTAGTTCCAGCTACTTGTGGAGTCTGAGGAGGGGCATCGCTTGAGCACAGGAGTTTGAGGTTACACTGAGTTATGATTGCACCACTGTACTCTAGCCTGAGTGACAGCGCAAGATTGTGCATCAAAAAAAAAAAAAAAAAAAAAAAAAAGCAGAGGCTGATCTCAAACCAACTGTCAACCTCAAAACCATTCAGAACACCCACCAAGCAATCTTCGGTCAATAGTGCCACCTGAAGGCTGGCAATGGTAGAACTGTCAGATCCAACGCCCACCCCTCCCTTCCCACCATCTGCAGCCTGTTCTTCCTTTTCCATTCAGCATTCTCAGTTTCCTGATTCACTTCTTTCCCAACTCTGGTTGGGGGTGGGATTGTTAGGACTAGGGTTATAGTCTCAAGGTGAAAAAAAGTCATTTAACAGTTTAATGTATAAACAAACCAGTGCCATTAACCTCTAAAAAGCCTTGCAAATGTCCAGAAGTCACCTAGTTTCTTTGCATGCTTTTTCTCTTCTTTTGCCCTTTAAAATTATCTTTTTCCAAACATTAGATTAAAAAACAAGTTTCTTCATCAACTTTGTTTTGTTTTGCTTAATTACCATTGTGTCATTGGAATAGATTTCTGCTGTAATTGCAGAGTTTTTCCACAGTATCTGTAAGCTGGTCTGGGAACTACCAGTTTGTTCCAGTGTTTTCAGGCCTCTGTTCTGAACTCCAAGTCCCTTCGTTTGTAAATGAAGAGGCAACAGGGATTCCTGAGGCCTAGGTTTGACTACTGGCTTTGTCACTTAATCCTCCGGTTGTTGTGAACCATTACTCATCCTCTCTAAACCTGAGTTTCCTTTTCTGAAAACAAAGCTTGCAGGACTAGTGGGAAAATGAGTAACAGCGGCACTCAGTAGAAATGGTAACTTACAAAAAAGAACGAGCCCAGAACTGTAAGTTTGGTTTTCATACGTTCTACATAGACACATTTATTTATTCCTTGTTCTTAATCATGTTAAAAAAAAAAAAAAAAGAGAGAGACAGACAGATACATATTCCATACAGTAAAAACTTCGTGCCTCCCTGGAATGACGACCTCACTTACAAAGACTGACAGAGAAACATAGGGAGAGGACCAGCACCTTGGTAACTTGCCAAGGTAGCCAGGATGAGGAAGGGACTCAGGGGGACAGTAGTCACTGAAGCAATCACAGGATGCTGCTGTTATCTCCATGCCCATTTTGGAATGTGGCAAATTACTGGGATACATAACTTGTAAGTAAAAAGGTCACATTAGAATCGGCTGGAACATGGTTATATCATAAAATCCAAGTCCTAAAATTTTATGACAGAGAAAGGGAATAAGCCTCTTCAAACCTAAATCCCTTACTAGAAACAAAGGCCCAGGCTTGCTAAACAGGAGGAAACGGAAAGTGCTTTTAACAGTTACCAATGACACTGCTTTGTTGTTTCCTTCCACAGTGCACAGACACATGTCTCTCACGAAGAATGACAGGGGAGCTTTTCTTACAATGTGCATATCAATTACATTTTGATTCACATGAAGCCATTCTCAGGGAGTACAAAACAAGCCACTTTAAGTATTACCTTCCTTAAAATGTGAACTAAAGAAAACTGTACTATCATGAAATAAGTTAACTGGAACTGAAAATGCTAAGCAAAAACAAGTTACTCAAATGTGCTGAGCAAAACAAATTAAGCTCACATGAGAAGAAAATTCCCATATTTTTACTTTGGCATAAAAGGGCAAACTTCTTTGATCTTTTTGATAGGTCTCATGCATTTAAAAGGTTATTTCAATAAGTGGCTTTGTATTAGGTTTGCCTTTTCTCTTTGAAAGGTAAAGATGAAGTGCAAGAGTTCTTAACCTGGATGTGTTTTGAAAACAGTGGAAGTGTAAATCTGTATGCTGATATGTGTATGTACGTGTGTCTGTAAATCGTTCTGGGAGAGAGCTTTCTCCAGTTTCCCAGAAACCACTGGTTAGCAGAACGTACCAGCTGCACAATAATCTCGCCTCTGCCTTTTAATGGTCACGTCGTTTTTAAATGGTGTTTATTCTCTGCCAGGTTCTCTCATCGACCACACGAGGACAGTCATACTACCTGCGATGTGAAGCTAACATACAACATTCACGGCACAGTGCCTACCCTAATAACCATCAGGATCCAAGGAACTCACAGTGTACACACGTTGTCATAGAAACAATCTAAACATAAAAACAATCTCAACAGAATACTTTAAAAAAAAAAGCCCGGTACCGATTATTTTACGGAGTCACAGAGGCATCAACGGCACTGAAAGTGTATTAGCTGCATTCAGTTCAGCAAGAACAATCTTCGACTCCCTCCACCTGACTCGATCATGCCTGACTGTGATGGGAGCTGTAGTAGTGTCAAGTTAACCGACGTTTGACTCGGGAGCGCATTTCACAAACATTTTTCTTAAATATCACCTTACCGTATTTTTCTTACGGTGGTTACAAAATTAATCTGCAGCCCACCACCCAAAGCTACGGTGCAGAAGGCCGTGTGGCGAGCAGAGAAACTGAGCCTTCTACTGTTAACCCATCTGGAAGAGAGTAACTGCGCCTGAGAGGAAATTACAGTAGCGGAAACGCGGGTATCCTACGTTTAAGAAATCCCCCAACTGACGCAGGAAAAGGCCGAGTTATTTGTGTGATGCACTTGAACCGCCCGAACTGATCACTAATAAATGGATTCGCCCTATTCCTGGCGACTCTACAAGGTTGGAGACCCCCGTAGACCTCTACAGTCATCTCCCCTCGCTGCAGACCCCCAAAGATCACTGACAGCCTTACCTGGACCTGACCTTCCTCACCCACGCGCCCTCGTCCCGGAAGGCCCGCCCCCTACCCGGCTCCAAACTCGCGCAGGCAACTATTACGGGAGCAGTAGAGAAACAGAAGCTTGGCGGCTAGAGCGGAGGCCTAGTGGACCCGGAGTTACTGGCTCCCCCTCCTGAGGCCTCCGAGGTGTACCTGGCGCCTGCGCAGTGAGGCTAGCGCCGCCGCCTGTGCAGAGGACCCGCTGGGGAGAGTTAGGGAGGTCTGGCTCTCTGGAAGGGCTTGCGGGGTTCGGTAGTATATTTTGTTGGGAATGGCTACAGACCTGCCCCCAAAAGCTCTGAAGCAATGGCGATGCGTGTGCCGTATGCTCTTTCTGACCGACTTTCGGCGCTATCCCCCTCCCCTTCCATCTATCTGCTCATCCTCTAACAGTTAATTAGGCTCACCAGCTGCAAGCCTTCCTTGCTACCCCTACGCTGGGTTAGGGGCACTTTCCCCCATTGACTCAGGAGCTTCTTCAGGGAGTAGGGATGGAACGTTTGTCTCCTCGGTAGTTATCTAGACCTCGCTGGGCAGATAGTAGAAAACACTGTGAGTATTTCACTCCATACTAAATCTGTTTTCAAGCAAGCCACGTCCCATAGGCATTGTATGCAGCACTTACTCAACGTTTGATAGTTTGGGTGAGGAAACAGTACTCGTTTCTGAGCATCGTTCAAGGCATTTTATAAATATTCCAAAATGTACCCTGGAATTAATATCGGCAGTGAGTTGCCTACCTAGTAGTGGATATTGTATTTACACCCTCTTTCCTCCTACAGAATTTACTTTTAAGTTAGAGTTTGACGTCTAATCAATCTATGCTATAGGATTTGCTTTTATCAAGTTAAGTTTTGACATGTTATCAACCTATATCATATAGTAAACAGCCTTATAAATTTGGGTCTAGTGACTACATTTACGTTTACAAAGGGGTAATGAGTATCCTATGCATGGCTGCAGTCCGAAAAAGAAGTCCTAAGGAGCGAAACTCTTGGGAGAAATTTCATCTTGTCTTTTGTACTTGTTTCTGTGGAGTTGGCTTGTTTTTATCTAATGGCTACTTAATCATATAAACAAGAAAACTTCCTTTACGTGTAAGCTGTAAATTTGGTTTAAAGCCAAATTTTAATTGGCTTGAGGCAAGAGCTATTTTTATATATATATGTATATATATTTTATATATATGTGTATATATATTATATATATATTTGCATAAACCTTTTTGGCTTCGTCTTGTATATCCTTCCTGTTTTTCCCTTTTCACGAATGAATTATTGGTGTTATCAATGTTTTGTGAATTGCTGTAAGCTACCATGAATCTTTCTTGAAACATAGCTAGGTATATAGAGTTTCAGGTGACTGTTTAGGTACTTTGCACTATCGCTTTTATTAAATCAATTTCATGGGGTTCGTATTAGTTTCCTGAGGCCGCTATAATAAAATACCACAAACTTGGTGTTGTAGCGCAACTGAAATTTATTCTCTCACATTTTTAGAGACCATTTATTCAAAATCAGCATCACTGGGCCAAAATCAAGATGTTGACAGGGCTGTGTTCCCTCCAGAGACTCTAGGGGAGAATCAGTTCTTTGATTCTTCCAGCTTCTGGTGGCTGCTGGCATTCATTGGCTTGTGGCTACATCACTTTAGACTTCAAGGCCAACATCTTCAAATCTCTGTTCCCTCTTCACATTCCCTTCACCGTGTGTGTCAGAATTCCCATTGCCTCCCTTTTAGGAATGTGTAATTGCATTTAGGATCCACGGAGCTAATCCAAAATACTCTCTGGATACGAAGAGCCTTAATTTAATCACATCTTCAAAGACCTTTTCCCCGTATCTGGTAACATTTGCAGAATCTGTTATCTTTGGGAACAGTTTCAGCCTGCCACAGGATTGGAAGGAGCAAGCCCTTGAAATTGACCAATCAGAGACTGTCACTGGTCAATAGGAAAATTGGAATGTTAGGGATGGAAAAATGAAATGAATAGAATAAAATTGAACCTTCTATGGATATTAACTTCACCAGACCTTGGCTTACCCATTTACACCTCCAAGATAACATATTTTTGGGAGCAATTTTTATAATCACAGATTGCTCTATAAATCAGATATTGCCTTATATATTTCTGTTTTCTGTAGTCCTATGTTTTCCAGTTGTGTGCTGTGAATCATTAGTTGGCTGTGAAATCAATTTAATGAATAGAGAACAGCATTAAAAGAAAGACATTAGGATACAAAATATCAAAATGCATCACATGTAGTAGGGGTAACTTGTTTCATGAAACAATAAGTATATGTGCATTGGATCATAATATAACTATATTTCTTGCTGTTGGTTGGGTAAAATGGAAAGCCTCCACTTTAAGTGATTTCATTACTCATCATACTCTTTGGCAAATGTTCTTTGTCATTAGGCAGAGCAAGAATTAAAGCTACATCAACTTCAAGTTCTTATGGTGTGGCATAGTCCAAGAGGCAGGGGAAAATTTATTGCTTTAAGTAAATCAATTTACAGATACCGTATTTTCATAAATACTCTTTCTTAGCATCATGTAGGTTCTTTTCTACTTCTGCATTTACAACAGTTCTTGGACCTTACAAAAGAAAGGTATATCCCTCTCACCCAAGGTGTGAGGGATATACCTTCCAGGATGACATATGAAAGGAAGATTCAAAATGTTTTGGAGGAAGCTTCCTCTAATGATCAATCAAGGCACTGTCAACCCTTCTTAGGCTTCATGTCCCTTCCCATCTTACATATATTCCACTTAACGGTGAAGTACGACTGTCAGAAATATGGTAGTTGGTTTGTTGTGATTTTCTGAAATCAGATATACTGTGTGAATGTTAGTGGTAAGAGTGACAGTAATTTTCCTTTAATCATTAGATATCTTCTGTCCTCTGTTGAAAAGTGCATTGTTTTTGAAGGAGAGTCTGGTGAGAGCAGAGCAAAGCAGCATTGAAGAAAGTATCGAAGCCAATGTTTTTCCCGAATATTTAAACCTAAGCAATTCTTTTCAGCTATTCTCAGTACTTCTCCATAAGATATATCATTATCTGGAAAGAAACACAGCTCTGAACAGCTGAAGTAGTGGAGCTTTGTGACAGATTTTTTTTTTTTTTTTTTTTCAACAGAGTCTCACTCTGTTGCCCAGGCTGGAGTGCAATGGCGTGATCTCGGCTCACTGCAACCTCTGTCTTCTGGGTTCAAGCGATTCTTGTGCCTCAGCCTCCTGAATAACTGGGATTACAGACACCTGCCACCACGCCCAGCTAATTTTTGTATTTTTAGTAGAGACAGAATTTTGCCACGTTGGCCAGGCCAGTCTTAAACTCCTGACCTCAGGTGATCTGCCTGCCTCTGTCTCCCAGAGTGCTGGGATTACAGATGTGAGCCACTGCTCCTGGTCATGGCACTGATCATTGTAAATATCATACAGATTATTTTCAAGTACCTTCATATTTTTCACATTGCACTGGAATAAACTGTGCAAAAGTAATACATAATTTTATTTTAGATTTGGTGTGTGATGTTTAATGAAGGTGAAAGTGTATTGTGATGATCACTGATACAGTTCACCAGATCTTTTCCATTTCCTTCTACTTTGGCTAGATTGTATTTCATGGGAATTTTGAGATTGGTTAGGACTATGTGACTCTTTCTGGCCAATGAGTTATGAGCAGATGTGAAGCGTCACCTTCTGATGAGGGTGGTTATTTACCCTGATGAAACTCCAGAGCTCTCCTTCCCCTCTGAGATAGAGAGTTGTTGCTCTGTCAGCCTGTGCTCCTGAATCATTATGAGGGGCTGATCCTGTTCCACCAGCCCATAATGGAAATAATAGCTTTTGTTAGAAATGAGCTGTTGTTGTTTTAATTCACATGCCTTTGTTTTAAGTCATACAAATTTGTTGTTTGTTATTGGAGCATGACCTAGCCTATCTTGTCTGATACACTTATTTTATCAAATTCTATTATGAAATAGAGAAATACTTCAATCCTGACTTCTTTCTGCCTCTTATTAACAAAAACAAAATTATGCTTTAGCTTCTAAGCTAATTACTTTTAAAATAGCATATTATTTTATTCTTCATTAAATATATAGGAAACATTTTGATTATGATTTCCAAAAAATTGTTTAGAGCTATTCTAGAATATTTATATATTATTCTTCTTCAGCTATTCCTAAAAGCTGAAAACCAAAGTTCAGTATATACACAGATACTGAAGGAATCCTGCCTGTTATACTCTAATTCATAAATAACATTTATCCTGCACATTATGTTTTATTATTATGAAATAAGTAATGAGAAAAACCATAAAGATTTATTCTAAGTTTTATGGTGTATAATAAAAGTGGATAAACCTATTCTAATAGTTTTGATATCATTTAAATCTTGACTGCTTTTAATATTTGAGGTTATGAGATGTATTTGATAATTTCCTAGCTTAAAAAACCTAAAAATACATATTCTAATACATTTAGTTGAGTTAAAAATGAGGTTAGAAAATAAATCTGACCTAGATGATTGGTTTGACAATGAGGATTAGCTTTACTAATTAGATGATGTGGCTAATGGGTGTTTTCTATGAATTGAATAAGCCATATCTACAGCTCCAAGGTTTGGCAAAAATGTAAAAGTGCATGATGAGATAAAATCTTTTTATAAAAGATATTTTGTGTCAAAATTAACAATATTTCCATTTTGCTAACCCCTGGATGGGCTCAAAGATCCTCCCACCTCAGCCTCTGGAGTAGGTGAGACTACAGGTATGAGCCACCATGCCTAGCTACTGTTTAAAGTTTTTGTAGAGATTGGGTGTTGCTATGTTGCCTAGGCTTGACTCGAACTCCTGGACTCAAGTGATCCTTCCCTGCTTGGCTTCCCAAAGTGTTGGGATTACAGGTATGAGCCACTGTTCCTGGACAAAACAAGGTGATTCTAAATGAAAACAGAACAAATACAGATTTTGCAAATCTTGGTGTTGCCTTTTTGGTATATTTCCCAAACATTATGAAAGCGAATGACTGTACATGCTCTTAAAAGTCAGGTTGAAAGTAATTCTTTGTTTTCAGAAAAAGAAGAAGGAACTAGGTAAGTTTTTAGCTG